ATGCCGGCGCTTCCTGAGCATTCTGAGGTTGGCTTTCCAACCTGGGACAAGCAAGCCGTGGATGCAGATCTGGGCACAGATCAACTATGGAGGTCCAATCAGGGATGCAGTTTCCCTTGTTCCAGGGAATGGTTTGATTTGGATGAGGGGTGGGGAGAGGGCAAGCTCTGAGGCCAAGTTCTTGGGCCTCCCCGAGGCCATGCCAGCCTCTTGGATTAGGAAGCTGTGATCATCAACTGATAGGAGGTTTGCTCCGGGAGGACAGACATGTGGGTCGGCGCAGGGGGCTGCGGGTCAAGGGGTAATGGAAGGGTGGGGACCTACATGCCACCTCAGGAAAGCGGTTTCAGAGGGCGTCAGAGGACGAGCTGGAGCTGAGGGCAGAGGAGGAAGAAGACAGCTTCGAGGCCCTGTCGCCCCCGGGGGCTGTGAGAGCTGGCGTGTTCCCGGGCCTGGCAGGGAAGGAGATGCGGAAAACACAGGGGCTCTTCCTGGGAAACCCCGTTGCTCCCCTCCCCGTCGCCCCTGGGGAGGACTCACCTGAAGAAACCTTTGCAGCCTTCACAGGTCATAGCGTTGAAATGGAAGCCGGTGGCTCGGTCTCCGCACACACCGCAGATCCGGGGCACGTGCCGGTCGAAGTCGCCGGGGTCAGGCAAGGAAGCACCAGCTGCCATCGCCTCCATCTCTGCAAGGACAGCAGGCAGGGGTGAGACAGTGCCAGGGCCGGCTGGCGGGCCTTCCTCCAGGAGCTCAGCAAAGCTGGGCAGCTCCCCGGGGCCCAGGCCGGAGCAGGATTCTTTGGTGCCCTCCCTTCGTGGCTCTCGGTCCCCAGCTCACCCTCCCGACACTGCGCTGGCTTCGAGCAGAAGGGGGGCTCCTAACCCAGTTCGGAGCAAACCTGTGGAGTGGCACTGCAGTGATGCTCACGGCGTGGCCTGGAACCAAGGTGCCAGGGAGCAGAGGCTGCGCCTGCTGCCTACAGGCTGGGCTACTTTGGGTGAGATGTTCAGCCTCTCTGCACCCCACTGTCCTCATCTGAAGAATGTGTTTTTCTTCACCGGGTGTGAGGAAGGATTATGCGAATGAACATACGCACACCACTGGTCTCAGCTCCACCTCAGCAGCGGACCTGCCGCGGGTCAGAGGCCTCTCTTGCCTAGTGTCCCCTCCAGGAGGGACGAGGGCCCTCCAACAGCCTCCGACGCAGAGGGAAACCCTCAGCCCCTCTTTCCTTCAGGGCGAGGGGAAGAGGATAGTCTACACGCCCAAATCAGACCCTGTCGTGTCAGGTCCTCGCCGCCCTGCAGCTCAGGATGGACAGGACTTGTGCTCCTGCGGTCCTGGTATCAAATTCATCAGTCTTTTTGTCTCTCTTTTTTTTCAATATAAATTCAACACATTGTTCTGAACGTCCTTCTGAGTAATGTGAGCCATATACAGTGAACTAATTTTGTTTTCAGAGATGGCTTTTATAAATAGGCATTATCTAGAGATGGATTTCACACTTGAAGAAAGGGGGGAAGAGATAGAGGGAACAAAATATATAGCTTTGGGAGATCCTTCTCAGGGAGCTGCTGACAGGTCTTCCCTTGGGAAAACTGGGGCCTTGGCTTCACCTGCTGCCTCTGACCCCCACTGCTGTCATGTCAGCTCAGAGCTGCTTCTGGGGTCCCTCCTGCCTTCCTGTAATGGTTTCAGACCCTGCTGCCTCCTAGTTTTATCTGAGTCCTCACATGGGTTGTTACAGGTTTAAGTGCCTTGGCTTCAGAGTAGGAGGGTCCCTCAGGACAGAAGAAAAACAAGAGAGAAAGGTGAGGAGACAAGCACCCTACCCCCTCCTACCCTGGTGCCACGTCCTCCCACTGAAGTGAGAGACGTAGCTTCCGGGGGCCCTTGGGAAGCTCCAAGCTTCTTTCCAATGACTAGGCTTTCAATCTGAGCTGAGGTTTGACACATCAATGCCTGGTAAGGTCTTATTTCAGTCCATCTTCATCTCACCCCAATGAGGCAAGTACTATTATTATCACTTGTTTTACAAATGAGGCCCAGAGAAGCCCAAACATTGAGGTTTTCTAGCAACTATAATTACAAAGTGCACAAAACAAATACTTAATTTTACAAAAAGAAAAATCTCACCAAGAGCTTCAAGTCAAACAAAGGAAGCTGGACAGATAAGGACAGGTATTTGTCAGTCCTACAGGGGCAGAGGGGCCCTGATCACAGACAGATGTATTGGATTCCCTAACTTTCTCTTTCACCTCTTCTTTTCCTGGGAACTTTAAAGTAATAATAGTGACACTGTTGCCCCTCCCTATCACAGCTAGGTTGATACTTGTTAAACAATAATGTTTATATATATACACATGCAGAGACACAGAGAGAAACACTTAAAAAAGAAAAGAACAAAGGAATGATTAACAGAAACTTTTGAGGGAGTAAGATTGGGGAGGGCATGCAGAGGCATTATGCAGCAGCCATATTCCATTTCCCTGAGTGTCTTATTATTCTTATTACTACTACTAAAACTCTATTTTCTGTTTTATATGCTACATAAAACTTGCATTGCATAACTGTAAAACAACTAAAAACAAAAGAGAGTGCCTTTGGGTTTGTCAACACTGTCCCTATAGCCCATATTAAGTCCAGGCTGATTCCAGGCTCCTGGAGTGTCACCCACATCCCAGACGTGGGCAGGGATCCCAGAGGCCCAATACCATTGTGGGGTAAGAAGAGAAACTGTCTAGGATGCCTGTGGCTTGACCCCAGGTCAGCTGAGATGATGCAATTCCCAGTCATCGTGATGTTGCTACAGAGTCCGTGTCATCCAGCTACCAAACATCCGGTGGATTTGGTGGAAAAAAGAGAAGTTAAATGTGAGGGTGGAAGGGAATCAGTCAGATCAGTCCAACAAGTATTCAGCATCATCTGGGCTCACTGGAGATGTGACGGTGCAAGAGAATTGAAACAACATGACACCACAGCCGGGCAACTGCGCCTTCCTGCAACAGAGTGATGGCAGGAAGGCTCCTGGCCCGGGGGTGGGACCCCAGGCACTGGGTTAGGCCTGACAGAAGGCTGGACCCGGCAGCCAGAGGCCCAGAGTGAACAGGACAATTTCAGGTGAGCTGAGAGAAAACTCAGCCCTGCTTGGGGTTATGCGCTGCTACCAAGAAGCCAGGGCCCAGGACCAAGAGTCCAGAGGTGAAGAGTCCCAGGCACATATGGCCTGAGAGCTGGCAGTGCCAAGAGTGACAGGCAGAGACCGTGGAGGGCAGGAAAGAGAAAGGAGTTGGGAGCTGGATAGGAAACCTCACCATGCTGGATGGCCCCCTGGGGTCCTGGCCTGGGCATCTGCAAGCCCCTCCCTCTGAGGTCTCACCCCGATCAGCCTGGCTCCAGGTCTCTGGCCGCGGGCTGCTGAGGACTCTGCTGACACAGGACTGGACCGACCCACGTTTGCCAAGGGCAAGGGAGTATCTCCTCTTCCCCCTGCCCGCCTGCTTCCCATGCCCGCCTCCCCTCGCCCCCCGATAACAGAAAGCCAGGAGGCTGTGGCTGAGGAGGAAACACCCAACTGAGGGAGCAGAGGAGGGAAGGGAAGTCGAGCGCAGAGGTGCCCTTCTGTGAGGGCTCACAGACGCTTCCAACCAAAAGGACCCTGAAATGAAAAGGCAGAAGCACTTTACAGCTCAGCGCTGACCTCACCGCTAGACAGCTCATCAAGCACGATGAGAGGCTCTTTCCAGGGGCTTTAGTCCCCAGATCAGGGACTGAAAACTTGACGGAAGTGATCTGTTGGGGGCAGACATGCGGTGTCATCACTGGCAGGACTGAAGGGGCGGGAGCCCAGCCGGCAGCCAGGAACAGCCCTCCCTTGAGGAGGGAGGGAGAGCTTCGGCCGAGGGATGCTCGGAGAAGCGGAGCCAGAGGGGGCCCTGGCAGGCTGCTGAGGGCGGGAAGGAGACCGGTGCCTGGGCGATGGCAGAGGCCACTCGGGAGCTGGGAATGGTGCGGGTTAGCCCTGGCCTCTTGGGATAGCTTCAAAGACAGGTGTCTGGGATCTGCAGTCTGTGGAGACTGGGTGTAGGCGGGGCAGGTGCTGCAGGGGTTAAATACAGCAACACACTGCTTTCAAACAGGATGTTTTCTGCCACTTTTAGCTCTTCCCCAGACATGCTCAACACCTCCGGCCTCGGCGAAGGCTGACGGTGGGCTGACTCTAGTGTCCAGACTCTGGGTCTTAGTGGCGTGATGGGTCACCAAGGTGGGGCTGGTGGAATTTCACCCTTCCCACTTCCACCCACACTCAGTGCTACTTGCCCACCCAGACAGACAAACACACACACACTTCCTCCCTTCGCTGACGCCAATAGGAAGTGGCTGGGGAGATAATAGATATGCAGGTGCCTGACCCGGAACCCTGGCAAAGGTCTTTCAGGCAAACTCCATGTGGGGAAGGTTCAGACCCCCAGCTTTCGTTTCACTGCCTCCTAGTGGCCCGACTAGGCAGAGAAGGGGAGAGCCCAAGGGGCATCCAAGACCTGGGCCCAGTCCTAAGACTGCCAGCCCACTGACCCATCTGCCAGCCCCTCAGGCACTGCCCACCCCCAAGGAACAACTGAGAAAAGTGTCAGTGGACCCTGCTGAGATAATGTGAACATGGCTGGCCCACTCCCAAGCACCGTGGGTGGAGGAGGGGTACCTGCAGGGTACAGACATGTGGCCACTTCCTCCAAGCCAGGCTCTCCTCTGCTCCCTCTGCTTGTACTGCCCAAGGCCCCCCAGCCAGCCGGGCTCTTCTGGATTCTACCCCGTGGCCTTAGCAATTTCCCAGACTCCCTGCTTGCTCCTCAGGAAGGCTGAGGTAAGGATCAAATGGGTACAGAAAGGACCACTGCTTTCCTGCTCTCAGCCCCTAAGATATTTAGAAGTCAGACCTGAGATCCAGGTAGCCTACCAGCCCTGAGCTTAAAGAGAAAGTGTTTGAGCATCTACTATGTGCCACCCGGGATCTGACGTAACCTCCGAACAGTCCTGTGAGATGAGGGGCAGTCTCATTTTACAGATGGCAAAACCAAACTCCAGGTAGGGCACTTTGAGAGACTTGCCCAGGGTCCCACGGGCAGGCCAGTGGTGGTGCCAGGGACCAGACGAGGACAGGCTGGCTGCCCGCAATGGCCAAGGGCTGCCCTTGCCTCCTGCCAACTCAACCCATCCCAGCGATAATCACCAGCACAGGCGCTAATACTCACGCCGGGCATTGCTTCAAGTTCCTCCTGTACCCTCACTCATTTAATCCTCACAACAACCTCACGGGCGGGTACTGTTATTACCCCTATTTTAGGCATGGGGCAACTGAGGCACAGAGACGATTGCCTTTGGAGCCCAGATCTGAACCGAGGCAGCTGAGCCCCGAGTCTCTGCTCTACTTTTCCTAAGGGAGATAACTCAGTCATTTCCTCACCCTGTGCCCTGGACACCCTTCACTTCCACTAAGTCAGGAAGGAGCAGACAGGGCAATCCCCAGGTCATGACGGAAGAACATCGTGGCACTTTTCCTTCCAAGGCTCCCAAATCAGCCAGGATCTCTCTTCTGCCAGCCAACCCCTCTTACCTGGGAAAACCCCATTCAAAAGATAGGCCTCTCCTCTCCATGCAACTTTGCACTACTGGGTGGTCCTTTTAGGAAAGATTGTCCTAGATTTAGCCTGTAGGTCCAAGTGCATGGAAAGTGGGGCAAGAGACACAGGGCGAAAAAAAAACAAGTGGAAAAACCCCCAGGTTAACACCACCCACTTTGCCACGTCATACACCCCCCACCCCCAATTCATGTTCTGAGTATAAGAGCATCCCACTGCCTTTGCTGGGGCTGTCCCCAGAGCCAACCCCTCCTGCCCTGCTTTAGAAATACCCAAACCCCTAGTATTGAGCCTCAGAGAAGCAGAGGGGTAGCAGCTCAGCTCTGCAGAAAGCCCCTGGCTTCCATTCCTCCGGGGTCAGCATCCTACATCAAAACCCCTGCCTGTCGCAGTGGTTAAGAGTCCGCCTGCCAATGCAGGGGACACAGGTTCGTGGCCCGGTCCGGGAAGGTCCCACATGCCGTGGAGCGGCTAGGCCCGTGAGCCACAACTACTGAGCCTGAGTGTCTGGAGATTGTGCTCCGCAACGGGAGAGGCCGTGACAATGAGAGGCCCGCGCACCGCGATGAAGAGCGGCCCCCGCTCGCTGCAACTGGAGAAAGCCCACACACAGAAACGAAGACCCAACACAGCCAAAAATAAATAAATTAATTAATTAATTTTAAAAAAAAACAAAAAACGCTGCCTGAGCCTGACCCCAGGCCTGACCTTGCTTTAGCAAGAAATGAGGAGATAATGTGTTTCCTTCCAGTCATCGAAGCCACAGCCACTGCCTCTCCCACACATCTCCCCGTCAGCTCACACAGCAGACGCCCCAACTTCCAGTGACTTCTGCTGAATGGGCATCCCCAGGCAGAGACTCACCTAGGACAGTCCTGTAGGGTGGGGACTGCAGGGTGTCCTGGGGAGAGCCCTGGCAAGACAAGGATCGAAGTGTGCTACAGGGCTCAGTTTAACTCTACTGCATTCACTAGACCCTCTTCGGGGTCCTGAGGGCAGTAAAGCTGTGACTCTAGGAGGACCAGGCGGCAGACAGAGGTCTGACTTCTAAGGTCTTTTCTAGCTCTGAAAGTATGCAACTCCAAGGCTGAATTCCCATCGTGATGAGGCCTTAAGACCATTCAGGAAGTGAAATTCCTTCACTGAGCGCTCTCCCCAACCCTCCCAGTAACTGGTGAGGCCCACTCACCCCCAGATGCTAAGGGGCAGGAAGGGCGGGAGTGATGTGGCCCCTTTGGGTCCTGTGGGGACTGGGAGCCCAGGAGAGGGGCCTCCCTCAGCAGGGTTGGGACTGGACTGATCAAAACGGGCTTTCTAATTGTTGACATTAGCTCAAAGTTCCGTCTCCTTCTAGAAAGAAATGCAAAGCTAAGTGACTTCCCAGCAGAGGGGGAGGAAATTCCTCTTCCTAAAATTGGCCCACATGGAATCAACCACACGCTGGGCTCTCTCTGGAGCGGGTGGGCCTGTGAGCACGCCAGCCACAAGTGCACACGTGCTTATGAGTGCACGCCCTTGTCTTGTTGTTTTCATTTCATCATCCTTGCAACTCTGCCCACAGAGTGCTGAACGCTGTATGACCTACCCAACTTCTTACTTACTGTCTCTTTATCCTAGCATAACTTAGGCACAGCAGTATCGTGGCCAGTTGAGGTGATGCCTTTTCTTCCTTCTCCACCATCCCCAACATAAGCCCACATGCTTTCTCCAGAAAAGTCTCAGCATTACTTCCCAGAAGCTGAGGGGGGATAGAGTGGAAATGAGGGCAAGGAAAGAGGAAAGTATACTGTAGAGCTAGATCTTGGCCCAATTCTTTCTTTCCCCACTGTCTCCCCCGTTCCTACACACACACACACACACACACACACACACACACACACACACACTTTAAACATGTCTGAGAACATTCGGAAATTATTTTCTGAAGACTACAGTTTCCAAAGTAAAACCCAGTGGATAGCAATCATCTCAGAATATCTCAAGATTGGAAGGAAACTCAACACCACCTACTCCAACCATCTTAAATCGCTTCTATAATATTCTAGCCAGTTTTCTAGCCTGGACTTAAATATCTTTTCTGTTGGAGAACTGTCTCCCACGGTAATCCATACTCTTTGGATGGCTCTATGCTTAGAAAGTTCTTCATTACGCACAGATGAAATAGCCCCTACAGTTTTCAACCACTGGTCCTAGACCAGCTCTCCGCAGCCATCTAAGATGAATCTACTAGGCCATTCCCACGGTGTCTCTGGAGGAGGGGTTGGTAGGGCCACCATGTGATACTACCACACACATTAGAAAAAGAAGCACACTCCTCATCTGCTGGGAAATTGTCAAGAAAAGATAGAAAAAATCTACAAAGTTTATGATGCGAGGGACGTTTCGGGGAGGAGCACAGGGAGCTAGCCCGGCTACCTTGAATTTTGATTTAGACCTCATAAACGTCCCAGGTACAATCATGATTCCCACAAGGGCGGTGAATAAGGTGGTGAATGCGGACAGCATCTGCCTCCTTGGCTCCACCTGGAGAGAAGTTTCCAGCCCAAGAAAAGGGCCCTGTGGAAGAGTGTGAGTAGCTGCATAAGTTCTGCCAAGGCAGCCTGCCGCCTCTGCCTTAGGCTAAGTTGTTTCCAGGGGAGGCTGGCCCCCAGCACTGCAGCTCTAAGAACACGCCTGAGGTGGACCAAACTGTTTAACGACTGACTGAAGGATGGGAAATTAAGTGGCTGATGATCCAGCAGTTTCAGGAATAACTTTACCCCTGAAGGCGCTTCTTAATTAACTTCTTGGGGAATACACCTCGCCTTTGAGAACCTGGTAAAGGTCATGAACTGACACCCCATACGGTGTCACGGGTTAGCAGGTCACTGCAGAGAAGCCATGCTACAGACTCCCACTCTACTGGCCATTCATCAAGGCTCTTTCTTAGCAGATGGTCCTGTCACTCTTGGGAGTACTGGTAGCTTCCCGAAGCTGAGCAAAACCCAGAGGCAGGAACCCACGAAGCTCTAGGCAGTGG